AGGAGGAGTCCTGAAGGAGAGAGGCAGCCTGGGCCATTGGAGGGGGCTCCCGGAAGTGCGGTGGGGCCTACCCTTCTGCAGCCCCTTCTGTCCCCTCCCCCTTGGGGTTTCTTGACTTCTGAGGATTTCATTGACATGTAAACGAGGGTCCCCTATAAAAGCCAAGCCTTGCTTTGCTGGAGCAGATACCACAACATGGGCACAGAACCCGCAACCCGGGGCAACTCCGGAGTCTCTGCTAACAGCTTCCGAAAGGTCTGGGGTTCTGAGGGGTGCGGGGTGGGGGCCCTTCCCCCAGCCAGTGGGAGCAGAGGGCGGGAAGGCCAAGCCCTGCTCTCTAAAGATTGCTGGTCCTCAGATATCCAAACCGCTGATGGAGAAAAAGCGCCGTGCACGCATCAACGTGTCCTTGGAGCAGCTCAAGTCGCTGCTGGAGAAACACTACTCACACCAGGTGAGACTCGGGGAGGATGAGGAGAAGGGCCGCCCCGCCTTCCCCGCCTGACTTAGAGCACTTCCTACTGATCTGCAGATCCGGAAACGCAAGCTGGAAAAGGCCGACATTCTGGAGTTGAGCGTCAAGTACATGAAAAGCCTTCAGAACTCCTTGCAAGGTAGAAGGGAGGCTTTGAAGGGGCTGGAGTGGGAAGATGGGACAGGGACGTGTGGAATCCGAACCGTGGATACGACAAAGCCAGAAACAGAAGGGATGGTTGGAGAGCAGAGCTCAGGGAAATGTGGGCAGTAGGTGGGCTGCTTAGGGGACGATGTTCGCCCAGTTCGGTTTGGGTGCTGGGGAGGGACGGGCAATAAAGATGTGGCTGGTTGTGAAGTTCTAATCTGTGTGCAGAGGTCTGCGCCCAGGGTAGACGTTCGGTCATCTCACTTTCCTACCTCCTCCTTTCTCCTCCACACGTCTCCCCTCCCTTTCTCTCCCACTCCACGCCTCTCCTCTCCATCTCTCCCTCTTTTACTCCCATCTGTTTAGGGCTCTGGTCGGTAGGCAGCGGAGCCGAGTACCCGACGAGCTTCCGTGGCTGTCTACCCGGCGTGAGCCAACTCCTACGACGCGGAGAGGAAGGCGGAGGCGGCCTGCGCTGCCCCCTGGTGCGGGACCTCGCAGGTAGCAGCACCATGGACAGCGCCAGCACTGGCCCGGAGGCGCCCGCTCTAGGCCACCCCAGTGGTCTTGGTGTCTGGGGTCCTGCTCCAACCGCCAGTGGCTCGCGGTCCCCACCACCCAGGCTCCTCTTTCCCGGAGGTCTCCCTGGCTCCTCCACCAGCGTCCCGGAGCCTCCGCCAGCGTCATGTCGCCGAGCCGAGAGCCCAGGGCCTGGGATGCCCGTGTGGCGACCCTGGTGAGGCCTTGGACTCAAGGGGGCCCCCATCTGGTCTGGGGACGCAGAGACGATATTTTGGATGCACCCATGGTGACTTAAGGGACACCTCAGACGCCCGTTCTGCTCCTGGGGTGGGGGTGACCTAGTGAGCGCCATGCACCCGTGGACGCGGGAAAATACAAAGTCACGTGCGGACCGGGTCTGCGCATCTAGGCATAATCCAACCCCACTCCAGCTCCACCTACTTAGGTCGGACCCGCTCTCTCCCCCCACCCTCTAGAGGGGCTGCGCCCCTTTCCCAGGGACCTCGGACAGGAAGGCCACCCCCGCCCCCTCCACGGCCGCGCCGCGGTGGGAAGGTCGCAGTCCGCAGCGGCGCAGAGCGGACCCCTCGCAGCGAGGAGAATCGCTGCCCCGCCCCGGCCCATTCAGCCTGCTGCAGGCGCCAGGTTCCCACCGGCACAAAGCGCGCTGAGCCCCGCCCCGCCAGCGAAGGGCTCCCTACCTACCCCCACCCGGGACCTTCAACGCTATCACCGATCCCCACCCCCTCCGCACACGGCACTGCCCACCCGGCAGGCTCGCGCTTTCCAAGGCCCGCACATCTCAGAATCCCTCCTACTGCCCCGCCCACAACAGACACTGAGCTCCGGCACGCCCACCCGGACGCCCCGCCCTGCTCAAGTCTTGGGAGGGATCCATTGCTTGATCTGGCCCGGGTGAAGGCGGGCAAGGGCTAACCCCAGTCCTTCTCGTGGGAGCGGTGCACTGGCCAAAGACCCCTGGGCAGTATTCTGGACCCAGATCCTGCAAAACCCGGGCCTCCCGACCTCCCTGACCGTCACCGAACCCACAACCCTCGGAGCATTCTGCGCCTGTTGCTGGTCCATAATGAGGTTATTGCTGCGCTGGGACTTGGGTGGTGAGAGACTCCCAAGTCAGTTTTTCTTCCCCAGGGCTTCTAGCAAGGGACCTCCTGGGGGTGGGGTCAGGTCTCTGACCCCACCTTCTCCTACCAGGTTGTAATTCGTAATAAAGACAGGGCGAACCCGTATAATGGGTATAAAGAGGCCAAGATTCCAACGTCTTCCACGATGCCTACTTAGGTGCGCTTTCTGAACGGCAAATATTAGCTTTCTATAGGATCATTTCTTCAGGGGTGCTACTCCTGCCCTGTCTGTGCTCCAGCCCCATCTTGGTCCGATCTCAGGGAGAACGACTCACGGTGCCAGGGCGGACAGGCTCTCCCTACCCCTCCAGCGAGCTCCCAGGACGAGGGCGGAGGTAGGATCCTCCTCTTCAGCCTCAGGCTTCCTGCTGGTGGGTGGGAGAGGTCGGGGCAAATCCCTTTGTTGGCCACCAGGCGGCGGCCTCTCACCACCGACCTAAAGGGGTGACCCCAAATTTCAGCAGGGGGGTTCTACCGCAGCAAAACCTGGCAGAACAGGTCTGAAAAGGCCTAAGCTAAGCTTCAACGGCCCAGTCCTGCTCGCTCTCTTGAATCACGCTCACAGTGACTGGCGGGCTTTGGTGCCCACCCAGTGTTTCATGCTGTTGGCTCCAAGTCCCTCTCCCATGATGGGCAGGACCAGAGAGCTCTTAAAGGGACAAGTCCAACCCCAAGAAATGGCACATTGGTGAAGAAATTCAAGTTTCAGAGGGAAAGACATTTGGGTGCTGCTGGCCAGCCCTGCCATTAGATTCTGAAAGGGTGTTAAGGAGACTTGGACGGCCAGGTGCAAATCCTAAGGAAGTTTGTATTGGGTCCTGTACAGGAGAGAAATGCTCAGTTGTCCAAAACAAAAGAAACAACAAAAAACCAACAAACAGACCCCTGGCTCTGGGATGGATGGTGGTATGTAGACAGAGCTCCCTCCCCAGCTAAGTCCAGGGTCAATGTCTTTATAAACACAGCAAACAAGCCTGGAAGCTAGACAAAGTGTGGGAGAGAGTCCCAGGGTCCTCCATGTGGGGTCCTCCCCTGAAATTTCCTATCAACCAGGACTGGAGTGATTTGGGAGGACTATGTCCCCACTGCAAGTATTGCCATTGGATATGAAATTATTCAGTGAAAACTCAAGGTGACAAATAGTTTTTTTGGGGGGAAGGGAGGTACAGTGGCTAGCTGGTGGCCTCTGTCCCCCCATGTGATACATCTATTCTTGAAGGCACAGCAGCATTGGCCAGGATGACCCTTCTTGTGGCTGGGGCTGGACTGCAGTCCCCTGTGCCCCTTGCTCACCTGTGGCTGGCCCATCCCCTTTATCCTACAGCTAGGGACCAGAGAGGCCTCTGAAGCCAAGTTGGGCAGTCATCTGCCTCTGCCCTCAGTGGCCCCTCTGGGGCTAGAACCCTGTCTGGAAGGTGAGGAAATGAGGCAGAGGGAACGAGACACAGCTGGCTCTGTGCTGGCCTTGAAACAGGTATCCACTTTGAGGGGCCACTGCATGGTGGCAGTGCTATCCCTTCAAAAGGTCACAGCTATTCCTGAGCCTCTCCTTCACCCAGAAGATGTGGGTCCTGGCAGAGCCCGGGCCTGCAAGAAGGAGAGCAAAGAGAATCCCTGACCCAGGATGGGAGAGGGCCCTTGCCAGGGGCCCAGCCTTCGGGTAGGTAGGGGTGAGGCCAGGGATGGGCAAGCCTACATCCTGACTTTGCTTTAGTCCTTTGAACCATGAGTCCACATCTTTCATGGTGGGAGTCACAGAGGTGGCCGACGTGGTGGGGGACAGGCAACTATGGTGGAGTAATGAGCATGGGGGCATGAATGGTGGTCACGGTGGGTGTGGTGCCAGTGGTGAGAGTGCAGAAGTGTTGTGCTTAGCTAGGGTAGAGTGTGAGTCCCCAAGGAGGCAAGGGGCACTGAGAGGGAGGCCTCAGGCCTAGGGGCCACATGCTGAAGCCTGACCCTCACAAAGAACCCCTAGAGGGCCCTATCTCTTACACCTGGTCCACTCAGTGGCCAGGGCACACGGACCAGACTTCAAAGAGCCCTGAGAACACGGCCACCTGTTCATCACAGATAGGAAAACTGAGGCAGAACAGGTCCCAGGCTGAGAGACCTGCTCAGAGAGTTTGTTTGGGCCATGAAGACCCCTGTGCTTAAAGAGACCCTCTGCAATCCACGCCCCTGAGGTGTGGCAGTTGCAGTGCAGATTGGAGGGTGGTTTCTGGTTCCAGCTTTTCCAAGGCTGGGGCTTTGTTCCGATGGTGACCCCGTCTCAGGGGTCTCTGCACCTGGTCCAGCTAAGGAAGGCTGGTGCAGCCCGTGTGTAGACGGCTCACTACCCACGCCCTGCCACGCTGGTCCCAGGAGACGCTGTGCCCAGTGCAGGCGTCCAGGGCAGCCATTGTGCCCCAATGTAATACTGGCAGGGAGAAGCCAGAAGAGAGGCGCTGTGCCGCTGTTCTTTTACTCCTGAGAGGGGTGACACTCTGCGCGGGACACAAGTGGCATCTTTGGTGCTGTGGTCCTCGCAGGCGGCCCTGCCTGCCTGGTGTTCTTGGGAGGCTCCGGTGGGCCCTAGGACGCTGAGCCCATCGAGTCCGAGTGCAGTGTGACGTAGCCCGAGGACTCGGAGGGCGAACTCAGGAAGCTGCTGGTACTGCCGCCGCCGCCGCCCGCCGCGTGC